TTAAGAGATTAAGTCTCACTACAGACAATATTTCCCTAACTTTCCACTTACTTGCATCACATTACACTTAAAAATCTAAGCATCCACAAGATGGGACTCCACTGTTGTTTAATTTTTTTAAAAGAAGAAATGACTGAGAGTCTTGAGATATAAATTCTGGTCCCAGTATGACCTTGGCCAATGAACTGCCCTTCCCTGGGCTTTGGGCATGATGATCCTGGAGCTGAACCATGATTTCCAAGGCCTTAGATGCATAGACTATTAGGTCTAGGCGAGCCTTGGATACTGTCGGGTTCAACTCCGTGTATTTGAGAGAAGAGGAAACAGAGTTTCCTCTAGAAGTAGTCACTTGCCTAAAGTTACTTAGTTAGTAGAGAATGACCACAAGAATCCAGGCCTCCCAACTCCCCAGCCAGCGTCCGTGCCCTGCCCCTCCCCTGCAGCATTAACCAGCTGTGATTCATAAGCCCCATCTGTGCCCTGCAGGGATCCACACATTGCAGCTGCATTCCAAGGAAGTAGATGCTGTCGTGCAGATGTGTACACGCCTTGAAGACCAAGGACTGCGGGAAATCAGGCTAGAGGAATTTTCATAAAATGAGAGAGTCCGGGCCACAGCCTTGGGGTCCTGCTCTTCTTCAAGCCACTCATGGACAGTGTCAGCAGTTGTGTCATCATCACTCTGATGGGCCAGGGTGGGAAAGGTGGTCTGTGGGCTTGGGCTAGGCTGGAAAGGGTTCCTGTGAGCTGCAGGGTCCTTCAAACCCACTCCTAGGCATGCCGGGGCATTCAGTCACAGAGTGAAAAAGAGTGAAAAGGATATTATCCCATCAAACAGAAATCAGTGATATTTAAAGTTGCTTGGAAAAGGACAGCATAGCATGATATGTTTACAAGTTGTCTTTAAATGACATGTCACTAAGGCATCCCCAGCAGACTCTTACTGGAGTGCTTGTGGCCATGGAACTTGGAGAAGTAGCCGTTATAACATATTATTACCGTTTTCTGGTATTATCCTAACTAGGATAATGAGGGTTTGGTGGGGTCATCTGGACAGTTCTGGAAAGGAGGATTAGGATTAGAATTCTGGAATTTAAGGGACCTTAGGGATCATCTCATCTCATCCCCTCATGGATCTGACGAAGAAACAGAATTTTGGAGAGTGATATTGACTTATCCAGAGGTGACATGGCACGCTCATGCTATATTCAGACAGAAAGGGAAGAGCTTCTCTATCATTCATAGCCAGGAAAGGCACATATTCTGGGGGTGGAGAGAAGGGAGACAATTAGAAAAAGTGAATGAGTTTCAACTATATGTGGAAGACTTCCGGGTTTGGGAGTTCAGAGGCCAGAGTCCTAGCCTTGTCCCTGAATTCTCAGCTTCAGTCTCCTCTTCTGTCCAGTGGGAACTTAAGCAATATTCAAACTGTAATTCCTCCAAGGTCTGACCTTCAGGGTGACCAAGGAGGATGAGAGAGCAGAGTGAGCTTCAGAGACACCTTCAACCTGAGCAGTTTTCTGTATTGGGCCTACTAGAAGATTTGTTAGAAGAAAATGTTCACTGGGGAGAAAATATTTGAAAAACAATAATAACAACGGGATGGGGGGGTACTAGATGAATCTCCAGGGGCCCCTGTAGCCTGACATTCTGTGAGTTCTCAACTCCAGGAAGAGAACTCTGCTGGGCACATGTGGGCAATGGCACAAGGGCTGTCTCCATGGGAGCACCAGTTGTCAGGGTGCAGCGTCCTGTGAACGGAGGCCTGCTCCAGCCGCATGGCTGCTGGAACCTCTGCAGGGAGGCTAATGCTGATGCTGGCATTCTAGAAGGGAGTCAGCTGTGCAAGCAAAAGTGGAGAAACACTTCCTGCCCTCCATGCCCAATATGTTAATTCCTTCTTCCAAAGAAATTGGACAAATGTGTCCAAATCAGAGATGCAAGGTCAATAGGGCACTTCAGGTAGGCAGCTCGGTCCCTGTGTTGCCTCAAGCAGACTGCTTCTTTGCTATGCCCAGAGGTCACAAGTCTAATTTTGGAGCAGAGAGAGTGTTATAAAATTTTGTCATCCACTGCAGATCATTTGGGAGTTAGTGGCAGATCTGGGACTAGAACAGGCATTTCCTGGATCCCAAACTTTCCTGGATCCCAAACAAGAATCCAGGACCATGCTGCCCTTCCAGAAGGCCTAGTTCCATCTCCTTGAGCTTAGAGGAAGGTGTTTCACCACCTGGCATAGAAACCATCAATCAATTTTTAAAATATTCTCCAGCCAGAAAGGCCAAACTATGGGTAGAAACGTATTCCAGTATCCTTAATTCAGTATCAGACCAGGTCTTCAGATTCTATTCTTGCCCTTGAAAAGTACCTTGTCATTTCTTTCACTACAAAATACAGCTGATGTCAGCTCCTTAATCTGTCTTGCCAGGAGACTCAATTTATTTGGGGCAAAGGAATGAGTTAAATCCCCTATTGTGTGTTTATCATCTTGATAAAGGAGTCCTAACAAGGTCAAACTTGGCATCTGTCTGAACAAGAGGAAAACTTGGGAGAAATGATTGCTCAGTGCATATGAATTGAGAGTCAATTGAGAGGGAGGGGAGAATCATGAAAATAAGTCATTGTTACAGCTAAAGAAAAAAAAATTCTATAATTTTTGTAGTCTTGAGGCCTTAGCTACCAATGAAAGCAAGTGTTATCACAGATGAAATTTCTAGAGAGTTGACATGTTTGAAAGGAGAGAAAAAAGTAGTTAGGACATTCACATCTAGCCTTGTCTAAATCTATGGAACTTACTGTCATGTTAAGCCAATATTTAGTCATTTTCCTCTTGGTTAAGTCCATTCTCCAACCCAAATATTCAAGAATGCCGTGGTTTTATGACCAGCATTAGTTGGGGGAATGGGCTGAGAGATTCTGCCCGCTACCCACAATGCATCTTCTCCTGGAGTTTGGCTCTGGGAGAGGCTATGTTATATCCTGGAAGACATAACCGACCTCTTTGTTAGACATTTCAATTTACGATAATGAACACTTAGGGTCTCGGTGAATACCTCCTGCTTGATCCTTGTGACTCTGAGAAGTTGGCTCCACCTTTAATGAATTTATAGAAACTATATATCAATCTAGATTACCAATCCACCTCATCTCCTAGAGCAACCAGCTTTACCTCTGTTTATCCTTTATCTCTCGGTCTTTTATTGTCATTACTCTTTTCCACCCTGTGCAATGGCTATTTTTCTAGGCTCATCTCTCTTTGTAAGGGACCAGATCATTTGTATCCTTAAATTTTCATAGTCCTAACACAGGGCACTCAAAGATGGGCAGCATCTCATAGAGCAGTGGCTCTCAAGTGGGGAGATTTTGCCCCTCTGAGGATATTGGCAACTTCTGGAGACATTTTTGGTTGTCACAAGTGCTTTTGGCATCTAGTAAGTAGAAGCTAGGGATGCTGCTAAAAATTCTATAATTCTCAAGACAGCTTTCCTCAGCAAAGAATTATCGGGCTCAAAATGTCAATAGTGCTGATATTGAGAAACTCTGCCAAGGAGCACCAATTTTAGAAAGTTTTTAGTCATGGAAACCTTGTTGTAAATGGGATTTACATTTTTACATTGATGCAGACCCAACATTGATGCATTGATTTTACATACATTTTACATTGATGCAGACCCAACACATATGGTAAGCAATACCCAACATTTTAAACGAGTTTAAGCAGGGTAGGGGTCCACAGCCCCACTTATCAGGGCTCCTTGCCCCTGTCTAGTGGTCTTGTAAGCCTGTGTGGTACCCTGGGGCTCAGTGCAGCACAGCTGGTGTAGCCAAAAGAGCAAGACATTGAAAGTCACAAGACATGGGTTTGGAACCTTGGTCTACCACTTACTAGGTGGACAACCTTGGGTGAGTTGCTTTACCTTCTTAGGTTTGTTTCTTTGCCTGTGAAATGGGATAGTAGTACCTGTCTCATAGGATTGTTTTAAACATTGAATGAGGATTATAAGTGCAAAAGCAGTTTCTTTGTAAATGCACTACTCTGCTGTTGATCAAACACTCTGGTTAGTACAGGTTAACTCTCGTTAAATTACTGGCTGTGGCAAAATGAGACTACATTAATACTAAAAATATACCAAGTCTACTCCAGAGTGGTTTGACGTGAACCTCTTCCAGGAAGCCAGAGAGAGCTTAGAAAGTAGGTTCTTGAGTCTTCATATCTTTTTGAACCAGATACAATCTTAATAAACTTGATCTCTCAGAAGTACTCCAACCTTTCTCAGCCCCACTTTTAAAGAACAGCTGCCCACCCATGGCATCATTTGTAGGTTCTCTCTAAGTTCCAGGGCATTTTGTTTTAATGTTGTGATAATTTCCTGCTCCTCTTTCGTATGTTTTTTACATCCACCTCTGATAGTGACCCCCTGCTCTTATCCTTACTCTTTGCTGATAAAATCCAAACTCTTTAGCATGACATTCAAGGCCCTTCAGAATCTCACCCCAATCCAACCTTCCAAGATCACCTCCTCCTGTCTACTACTGCATACCCTACACTTCCCTAACACTTGATCATTACTAGGAGACTGAGCAGTGCTTTGTAATACCTCATCTTTGAACATAATTATGGCTGTGTTTCAGTCTGATTAATGCTTACTCTGGGGTCTCTGCCCTTTTCTGCTTGTTGAACTGAAGGTGACGTTGGAGCAAGAGTAGGGGAAATGTTAAAGCCTTTGAGAACAGAAAGAAAAAGGGGAGGTTGTGTTTCACTGAGTCACATCTTGCCAGCCTCAATTTCCCTCATGGTCCTTTCTAGGTCTGCCCACTTGCCTGCACCTAGCATACCACGCCCAACCTTCATTCATCACGTTGTAACCTTGTGTGTCTTCCTCACTGGACTCTCACCCTGGGAGGATAAGCACAACGACTAATTAACCGAGGCTTCTCTAACTCCCAGCAGACTGTCCAGTAGAAAACTTGGTCCTGTTAGGGAACATCAGGGGTCTTACCTTCACATAGTCATATTCACAAAGGTAGGAGGATTCCAAGTTGAAGTGCATGAAGTAAAGCTTGATCCTAAATCCCTCCGGGACAGTGATATTCCAGGTCACCTCTGAATCACTCGGATAGGAGTCTGGATAGCCAGGTGACTGGATCTGGCCAAACATATTGTTAAGCTCCACAATGTGAGCCGAAGCCTTCAGCAAGAAGCAGCAGAGAGCATGATAGAGAAGGAGCCACCTGAAAGACATGAATGGATCCACTTACATACATGGACACCTGCACTTGCCATTTAACTAAATCAGCAGACGGGAGACCAAGTTCTTGGCATCTCTGCCACTGACCTCCTATAAATACTTTACCCCTCTGGGCCTTGCTCACCCAGCCTATAATACAAGAAGATGGTAAGTTGATGATTTCTAAAGTTTCTTCCAGTTGTGCTCTTTTGAAGATTTGATAATAGTATTGAACTTTCCCAGAAAGTATCACATTTGTGATTCTGACACATATCAATTTACTGTTGAAAACGTAAATTTCGTAATTAGGTAAAAGTTGATATTTCTTTAGCTCAGCTTCATTTAAGAATCATAAACTCTTCATTCAGTTTTCTACAAGGCAAGTAATAGTAACATGGTAATATTGGGATGAGATTCGTACTAATGATGGGATCTGCAGTACCTTACAAGGATTTAACAAAATTAATTGAGGTATGCAAAATTTTGAATTAAGAAAGAATGAACAAAACAAATTGTTTTCCTCTTGGTAAGTGTTCTTATAAGAGGATCCAAAACCTCCAATTTATTTTCAGCTGTGGCAGTCAGAGATAATGGACGATTCAAAGAGTTGCATAAAGGGCAAGGAAAACTCAACACAACTTACAGAACAGGCCCAAAGTGGCTGATGCAACGAGGCAGAATGTCCAAGGCTGGTCTCAACCCTAACGGTCAGTATACACCACACCAGGCACCTTATAGATTGCCCCCTCTGTGAGACCCAAGGACCTTGAACTCAAACCTCCCAAACCTGGCTCATCAACTTCTTCCCAAAGTCCTATTTATTCTGCTTCCTATGGTTTGGAAATCCATCAGCTTCTCTCCAGTCAATTAATTCAAACGTTCTTATCTGGCCTACTGCTGTTGCATCCTAAGTGATCTCCCTGCTCCCCACTTTATACCATTCTGCGATCTTCCACCCCAGGTGATTTTCCAAAACACTGATGTGACCATGCTGCTCCACTAAGCCTGAGGGCTAAAGCATCTGCTCCTGGATGGCTGATGAGCCCTTCCTGACCCAGTGCTGATCTGCCTGTCCAGCATCATCTCAGTGCCAGCCATGCTCTGGCCTGTCGTTCTGGGAGCAGGCCATGCCCATCCATGCCTTGGCCCCATTGCACATGCCCTGCTCATTCCTTGCCTGCTTGTCTTATTTATCCTTCACCATCCAGCTCAGAGCTTCCCAGGCTGTGGAGCAGCCTTCACTCCTCCAGATTCTGCAGCTCCCTGTACATGCTTCCACTGAGCGCGTACCGCACTCCACTGCTTTAGGCACAACCCCTGATGTTAGATGTATTTGGGTTCAAATCCCAATTCTTCTACTTACTGGCTGTGAAATCTTGGGTAATTAGTCTCTCTGAGCCCCAGTTTCCTCATATATAAAGTGGGGATTATAATCTCTAATTATAGGACTCACACGAGCATTGGAGATGACATATGCAAAGGACCTAGTGTAGAGCCTTGTATATAATAGATAATGGATGGATGAATGAATGAATGAATAAATGAGAGTGGGGCCAGAGTCTTAAATATCCTAAAAAGTCAATGCCGGGAAATTATACCAGCATCTTTGGATTAATAGTTACATCTTTGCTAATCAGGAAGTTGTTTCTCCCCAACTCTCCCTCCCCAGTATACAGATGCATATATGTGTATCTATGCATACACATGAATATTTAAGTGCATACAAGATAACTACATAGATTATCTAAATGTCTCATATATTTACATAATAGGCAGGTGTAAAAAGGCCTAGGAGGATATACATTTGGGTATTAGCAGTGGGTATCTCTGAAATGGGAATATGAATGTTTTTAATTTTATTTTGTGTACAGTATAGAAAATGTTCAAGTTTGTCTAGAAGGACCTTGCACTATTTTTTCAATAACAAGAAAATAAAGCTGTTTAAATGTTTTCCAAAGCCCTTACAATAGCAACATGTGAGATGCAACTAAAGAAACAAAATGTTTTAATCCAATTGCCAGGGTCAATATTTTTTTAAACCAATCTGTGGAGGGAGGGCCTCCGAGGCAGAGAGAAGGGAAGGCATAGGTCCAAGCTCTCCAGTGAATTCGTAGGAAAGCTGAGTCCAGAAACTCTAACTTTCAGGGCCCAGGTAGCCCCACTTTCAACTGAGGAAACATACCAATGTTACCAGGGCAGGGAGTTCTGGTTCAGTTCTGCCTGGGGAGGCGAGAGCACTGGTCTTGGGTCAGAAGAGCGAGATTCAAGTCTAGGCTTTGACTTTATTTATCTGACCCATCTTGGGGAAGTCATGTGAGGTCTCAGTTTCTTCATCCATTAAGTGGTGATAACAATGACTTCCCACAGGGCTGCTATCAGAGTAAAGGAGGATTGGAAAGTTAACTGTTCATCTTTAGGCAAACATTAGTTATGATTACTCCATTGTGCTTCTTCCCGAAAAGGAGTTAGGAATGAGCTTTTGTTCCCAAACTGGACTTCCCTGCAATAGCGACACCCAGATTATGCAAGGCTGAAAGGTCAGCTTTCTCCATGTCTGCTTTTCCCAGACCACATGGAGGACAAACTGAGCCTCCTAGCGCTGGTTCTGTCAAGGGCTGGCGGCTGACAGCCCCGTCTAGCCTGAGCGGCCCACGTGTGGTAGGCAACTGGTCAGCGTGGGAGGAAGGCCTATGAAGCTTTCTGTTCTATTTTGTTTGCATCTCAAAACAGTTTCAAACATATGAAACAAATATCTCCTTGTGCATAATGGGCTCTAGCATATGTTTGCTTGCTTGCTTTAGGGGCTGCAAATTGAAGAATGCAAGTGGTGGCTTTCATTACCCAGCACACTCTCTGAGTGTTTTTGGCTTCTTGTACACCAGGCACCGGCTGTACAATTCATGACACCTGCTATCTATTCTCCAGCTAATTAAAGTTTAGCTACATTTGCTTGAAATGTCAAAAGTAATATATAAAGCCGGGATTTCATAGGCTCCACTGTAGGAGCAGGCTATCAGAATGCATAAAAATGCCTGCATATATCAACGATTGTGGAATGAGTAGCCCCTTCATTTACTCTCCTCGCTTCAACCTACACTAAGCCGAGACTGTTTTTGAGTAGAAGAGTTGAAAGGGACTGTACAGATCCCTTTGACAACATCCTTATTTGACGGATGATGAAAAGGATGCCTCAAGAGGTGACATGTCGTGCCCAGTACCATATGGTGAATTAGCTTCAACGGAAAAAGAAAATTACAAAAGCTCACAGATGAAGCTGCTGGGTCCATGCCCATAGTATGCCCAGGCTTCTGGCCAAAGCAATTAATCCTGTGAAAATGATTCAAAAATCCATGGCTTTATATGGAAATTTAAAAAAAGATACTAATACCAAAGCCACTTCCCAACAGATTCTAGTTTAATTGTCTGGAGTGAGTTCTGGTCGTTGACATTTTTTAAAGCACTGCAGGTACTTCTAATGTGCAGCTAGGATTGAGAGCTGCCAGTATAGAATGATATACTTGCTTGAGAGTCTGGTGGAACATAGTAGGAAAAATCCTTGGACTTGGAGTCAAAGACCCAAGTTTGATTCCAGGCCTTTTCGAGATCATTGGTGTAGCTTTGGGCAAGTTGCTTAACTGCTTTTGTCCTCCCTTCTCCATAAATCCTTACCTCATCCAAAATCTGAAGACCAGATGCGACAGTGCCTATAAAAGTGCTTTGCAAACTCTGAAGAGCTGTGTCCATGTGAGGCAAGACCCCTTGGAGACTTCTAATAGAGCGCTTTTCTAGTGGCTACTTTGCTATTCAACAACTGCATTCAATTCAGCCAATATTTATTGAATGCCTAATAGGAAACAGACATTATGCTAGGTGCTGAGCATACAAAGATGAACAAGACATAGATCCCGCACCTTAAAGAACATTCAGTCTTGGAAGCAGAGGTGGACATTTAAACAAGGAGATATTACAAAGGCAAGAAGAGTTGTAGCTCTCAAGGGCAGAGACAGTGCAAAAGAGGAGATGCTCTCTCTAAGGATGTTGGCCAGTGGAGGTGATGTTTGAGCCAGCTTGAGCAATCGGGTCCTCTAGGTGGAAAATAAGGGGGAAAGCTGTTCTGGGTTATGGGATGAGTGAGCGCAAAGATACAGAAGCGTTAAACAGCCCTGTGATTAGGTATGGCTGGGGCATTGGGAGGTAGGGTGGGATTCAAACAGTGACAGATCAATCAAATTGTCATTGCATGTAGATGAGAATAAATCTCATCTATTTTAGGAGAAAGAAAAATGAAGTTAGATGGCAGGTTTAAAATGACAATGGATTTAAAAAGAACAGAATGATTGAATTAACCTTAAAGACCCGATTCCCTCTCTGAACCACAGGTAATCTGAGTTCAAACACTTAACACAGTCTGAAGCCCCTCATTGGTCCCAGAACCAGAAAAGTTGCTAGGCGACTTTGCAGAAGAGAAACAAATAGAGACACTTTTCCAATTGAGAAGAAAGTTAATGGGAAAAGAGGTGTTTGGGGATTTAATACATCTGCAGAGTGTTCTTTATTTTTTTGTATTTTTAACAACCCTAACACTTGTAAATAGTAAAAATAATTATGGTAGTTGGGTTTTAAGACTTGCAGAGGAAAACTTATAAGGAATGTCTGCTAAGAAGGATCAAGTAACTCCAAGTGTAGGCTGAGGAATAGGAAATGTTGAAGGACTTAAAAACAGAATTTAAAGTCCTTGGTTCAGAACTCTGAAGGCTTTTTTTTTTTAAATTTGTGGTATCCCTTTAAGAGCCATTTGGTGCAATTCATAGCCTGATTCATGCCACCAGCTGCCTCTGATTTCAGTGAGAAATGCAGAAATTTATAGGGAACTGTAAAATGGGGACAGGATTTTAGTTTTCTAAATTGAGGTTTTAACTGGCAAACTTCTGAAGGTTTAAAAAAACCACAGAGCCGAGCTGTGGGAAGCTGGTTTCTTTTCCGGTCAGAACAAATAAACACACAAACACATATCTAACTCACAAAGTATTGGAAGAGATAAATCAATGCACTTTGCAGAGGAGGAAAATAGAAAAGCAGCCTTGTGGGCAACCCGAGGAAAAGTCACATTTGTCAGGGGGCAGCACCCTATGCCGGCAGAGGGAGAAATCTGAGCTTCCGCAGTGTGGGGCAGGATTTGCCCAAAGTCTCCCATTTCAAGTTGCATGTCTCCGGAGTCCCAGGGAAGGCGCCCAGCCCACTTCTCCCTGCTGAGATCCCCAAGGATTGGTGAGAAACCCCATGCACCACCCGCAGGACATGCAGGTGAGTCTGTCCAGAAACAAGGTCAGACCCTCCAGGGCTCCTTGACACCTGGTCCCTGAAAGGGCGCCTGTGCCCACTCCTGCCCAGGCACTCACCTCATTTTCCTGCCTCGGGTGCTCCTGGCTGCCTGGCCTTGGTCCCCCCGGCCTGACTGCTCTGTGAGCTCGTCCCCGGTGTGGTGTCAGCGATGCCTTATCTTTGTTCTGAGGTCCCTGTGTGTCTCTGGAATTGGCTGGCATTCTCCATTCAGGTCACGCCTTCCCCTGCCTGCAACAGATCCCTTCTCCCCCTCTCTCCCTCTGCCTTTTCCTCTCTCCTCTCTCTCTCTCTCTCCTCTGACTCGCTCTTACACATACTCAGAGGAACCTGACAGAACAGAATCTGTCTTCTTTCTTAAAAGATCTGCTCCTCCAGTTCCCTCCTCTATCCTCCTGGCTCCAGCCCTTGAGAGAAAAATAGCTGAGCGGCTCAAATAGGTATTTGCATCACTGTGTGTGTTTGTGTGTGTGTGTGTGTGTGGAGGGTGGAGGAACAAAGTCCAATTTCTCTTCAGTCTCCCTTGCCAGATTGCTATAGTTTTCTGTTCTTCTTCAGGACACCGGCAACAACACACCAATTAAAAAGACACAAGCAACTAAGAAGGCAGTTTTGACAACTACACTAGTAAAGAAAAAAGATCCAAAGCCCAAAGGCTCAGTCTGTTGGCAAACAACTGCAGGTTTTCCTGTGAACAGAGCTGCTGGCCCAGACTGGGAGGGAGCACGGAGTCCTGAGGTTGACCAGTTGTCTTTCCCACTGAAAAGCAATACTTGTGCTATTTACCAGTTCAGAGTGTGCAGGGGTCTAATCCAGCCCAGAGAGGTTCTGTCTTGGCCAGAGAGCCCCACTCCCCATGGTGTAGACAGACCTGGGTCTGTAGACATGTCTCTCTCTGGGGTTTGTGGAGAAATGCAGCACCAGATAGAAACTGAGCTGAATAAAAAGAAAATTACTCCTTCTGCAGCGATGACAACCAATACTGAACAGGGAGAGAGATGTCTGGGTGTAAAAAATAGATTTTACTGAGAGCCTTTGCTGTGCTAGGCACAGTGCTGGGCACAAATGCCATCTCAACTATTCCCACAAACTTGTGAGGGTCATGCTATTACTCTGCACTCATTTTACAAAGGAGAAAACAGAGGCTCAGAGAGGTTCTACAACCTGCCAAGGTTATCCAGCTCTTGATGACTCCTTACTGCTACTACATGAATAGTTAACATCTACTGAGCATTGTGTGTCAGGCACTGTTCTAGTAATGTGTTAATTCTCTTCAATCATCTTTCCATCTTGTATAGGTGGGTAGTAATATTAACCCCATTTTACAGAGGAGGAAACTGCCCAAAGTGGTTAAGGAACTTACCCAAGGTCACACAGCTATAAAATGATAGGGAAGAATCTGAGCTCTTACCCACTGTATTGTACTGCTTCTCTCTAATGTATTACGATGCATATGGCATTTCAAATACAACATTCACAGAGAAACTCAATTTGAGGCATTTTGAAAAGCGTGTTAGTCTCAGAGTTAGAATTTAACTGTAATCTTTCCTTTCTATCCAAGCCAGCTGTGCACTTTGGGCCCAATACTTAACATCTCTGATCCTGTTTCCTCATCTGGAAAATGGAAGTTGCTATGAGGCTTAAGTGAGCTTATGCTTGTCCAAGTGCTATTTTTGGCTGTCCAGTGGTATACCAAGAGAGGGCTACCACCCACTCTAACCAACACAGCAAACACACGCACTCTGCACCCTCTGATAACACTGATTTGGCACACTTTGTGGAGCAATAGCTGGAATCTCGCTGAAATTCTCCTTGCTCCATTTTCTCTCCAGTTTCTCTATTTTAACACTTTCAAATGTCAGCCTTGCCAAGCCTGGCATTATCAAGAGGCTGTCGTTGATAATGTGGGTGTAAGCACGTGAGATGAGAGAATACGGTTGAACTCAGGCACTGTTTGAACAAAATGTTGCTTTCTGTGTCAGGCAGAGTAGAAAAAAACCCTTTAGAAGTCCCATTAAGAAGACTCACAGGCTCCTCAGGCATCAAATAAGTCTCACAAACAACATTTTAATGATTTAAGTGCAAACGAATCCGAAACACATGGACTACATTTCTCTTGGAATATACAAGGGTCTTCTTAAAACCAAAGGAGAAAGAGCCTGGCGCAAAGCATACTGCACTGCGCAGAGGGCCCTGCCCATTAAAGACATTCCCTCCATTCTCCTAATGTAGGGCACAGACAGGGAAATGCCGTCCTTTGTTCTGGGCACAGAGGGAAGATCTTGGGAGAGAAAGCCACCAGCTTCTCCTTGTAAAGTGTCCTAGAGCAATTGAGCTTCCCGCAATAATTTCCTGTCCGCGTATTTTCAAGGCTGTCAATGTTCAATGGGAGGCATTTGAAACATGTTCTAAGCCAAAGTTCTGCCAATATACAGCAGATCTGATATGTGCTTCCCGGGGAGTTAGCCAAGGCGCAGATGGAATCGCATGAAAACAGAAACTAGGTGGCTCAGTGAATGTTCTGGGTGGGATTGAGGGCAGTTTCCCACTGGGTTGGACCACACTGGTGATGTTGTCCTGACCTTCTGATAAGAACCCCTGAGGTATCATTAATAGATCGGGGGGAGTAGGAGGAATGGAAGGGACTCATTGTCCCTTCATGTCTGGGAGTAGGCTCAATATGGTAAGCTAACTTGTACGTGACCTTGGGCAAGTCACCTATTATCTCAGCTGGGTCAGGGGAGAGGAGGTGGGGCATCAGTTGGCTCCACTGTAAATCAGGGGATTGGACTCCATTGAGATCATGAAGTACACATCAATGTGGGTGTGAAAACTACGGGATGATACTGCAGTGGAGGAGGTTAGGTGGATTGCTAATGACCTGTGAAGAGCGTCAAGGAGTCCACAGTGGCCTTCTAAGCTTGGCACTTGCCTTATCTGTGGTGATCATAGCATTATGTTACTCAGGATTCAATCACCAGAGTTCAGAAGAATAATTATTAAGAGGATTCAACTAGCTTTTTAAAAAGCTTGACAAAAAAGTTTGAAAGATGCATATAAAGAACTAGCGTATGTCATTTAGAATCACAAAAGTGTAGAATGACGGATGCAGTCTCAACACCCCCAGGTTATAGTTGAGAAAAGGGACAAGAAAGCTCCTGCTAAGAGAGTAAATGCTACAGCATTCCTACCACTAGAACCAGGCTTGGTTTACATGTTCTACCGAAGTATTTATTATATGCAACTCCTGAGCTGAGACTTTCTGGAATTCCATGAATGTGTTAGAAAATGTAAAGTATTTGGGCAATGGGTTTTGGTGGCAAAGTCTGAAATCCAGGCTTCCTATAGAATATCTACAAAACTGATAAATAGTCCCAAAGATTGCACCTTAGAGGTAAATTTTGGGTTATACAATGTATTGACTGACAGTATGCTGAAAGCCATTGCTTTGGAACCTATCAGATAATCAGAAAAATATGGGAAATTGTAAAAATACTGATCCCTGAGTTTCATCCCAAGAGATTCAAAATCAGTGAATCTGGGGAGGAGTGTCTGAATCTGTAATTTTAACTGGCACGAGTCTGCCATTTTGAGTACATATAACAGAAGGATGTGTTTTACAATTGATGGCATTTTAGATTTGATGAAATATCCTTAGTATGTGCCAGATACCTCCATACACATTATTACATGTAATATTATTATCTTTTTACAGATGACGACACTGAGGTTCAGAGAGACTGTGTGCCAGTAAGAGGACAATTGATGTCTGGAGCCCAGGCCTCATGACCCCAAATCCAGGACTCTCTCCCCTCATCTGCAGACTCCTGATCCTGCTCGGGACTTTGAACATCCATGAGCCATGCTATCATGTGACTGTAAGATTTCAGGGAAGGGAAAAATGATGACTATTCAAAACATAAACTATTAGGCTCTCTTATGGGCTGAGTTATGTCCCTACAAAATTCATATGCTAAAGCCCTAACCCCCAATACCTCAAAAAGTGACTATTTGGAGATAGGGTCTTTAAAGAGGTGATTACATTAAAATGGGCCATTAGGGTGGGCCCTAGTTCAATATAACTGGTGTCTTTATAATAAGAGGAGATTAGGACACAGACAACACAGAGGAGAAGACCATGTGAGGACACAGCAAGAAAGCAGCCACCTGCAAGGCAAAGAGAGATGCCTCAAAAGAACACCTTAACCTTGAACTTCTTTAAAACACCTGCCAACATCCTGATCTTGAACTTTTAGTCACCAAAACTGAAATAAAATAAATGTCTGCTGTTTAAGCTACTCAGTCTGTGGTACTTTGTTATGGCAGCCCTAGCAAACTAATATAGGATCTCCTATATGAGGTTCCCCTAAAGGAACCTTACCACCTATATGGTAACACACACCACGAGTGGTGTCAAGCTGATTTCAGCTGGCACACACATGGAATTAACAAACATTGGGTCTGTTAAGATTCTGTTTGGTAGGTAATGAGAGAAACCTTGACTAATGGTGAAACAGATAGAATTTATTTTCCTCACATAGCAAGAAGTGAAAAGGAGGGAGATAGGTCTGGGGCAGCTGCTCAACCTTGCTTTATTTCTTTTTGCTCTGCCAGCCTTCGGATGTTGGCTTTTATACTTATACTTGTCACCTCATGGTCACAAAAAGGCTGCTGTAACTCCAGATGTTTGTCCATATACTAAGCAGGAAAAAAGGAGAGAGAGGGAAGGTAGCACTGGGGAAGTTCTTATGTCTCACAGACCAGAGTTGGGTCACACGATCACCACTTACTGAAAAGGAGGCTAGGAAGTCCAGTTCCTACTTTTACAGCTTGTATAGCAGAGGCAGGCCGCAAGGAACATAGGGGTTGGAAATGGGAGGTGCATGAGTGACTTCATATGCCAAGCAAGTCCTGCCTTTTTCATTCTCTTTCACTCCCAATAATTTTAAGAAGGAAGTCTCAAAGTGGTGCTATAATGTTGTTAACACTAATTTCCCTCTTAACAAGGAAAGGCAGACCTCAGGTTCAGAGTCTTGTGGAGGCAACAGTAGGTATTCCACTAGAATTTAACATTTTTTTATTCATTATTTTTATAGTTATGATAGTAACATACTTTCAGATATGTGGATTTCAGTTAAAAAAATCCAGAGTAGATTTAAATAAAAATATAAAATAAATAATAATATAGATGGTATTCATGCCTATGAAGAAAACATTGTAGAGATAAATGACCAAATGTTGGAAACATCAGTCTAGAGGATGAACTCAGTAAAAGCAGCCCACCATGGTGGAAGAAGACTGGCCTGGGAGTCAAGACGCCGGGGATGGAGGCCACGTTCTGCCCCAACCCAGTGTGAAGCCTTGAACTCTTCATCCTCCTTGGGCTTTGGATTTCCAACTCACATTGATGACATTGGATTAGGTGTCTGGTTTTGTTTTTTTAAACTACATTCCTACTTAAA